TAAGTCTGTGCAAGATGGGACCCAAAAACAACTTACAATGTTGCATAAACAAACACACATGGACATGTGCCAACAAAATTTGGATCGCTGTGGTAATGATTCTTAGACAGAAACTCAGAAAATCTATGTTTTGTATTATCTAACAAACATGGTACAACAACAAACTTACAGCATCACTTGGGCAAGAGAAAAGTTGGGCATGATCTGCTGGTCTCATACCATTTGTGATCTACCTCATTGTCTCAAGTCTACATATTAAACTACACTTTATTCAGTAAGTATGTGTTCTTTATTTTTCTGGTATTAATTACAATATTGACATAATTGTGTAATACTTGACACATTAAAGCAAAATCTTTACACTATAATTTATTTTAGCTAGTGAGCCACCTCCTTCCTCCATATCTCACTTGAAGTTTAAATTTAATTTAATAAATAGCTTTCCCTTTTCACAACCTATCATAGCAAACAAGGCAGCTAGATATGGGCTTCTCAGTCCACTTCCAACACTTCCAAAGCCTCACACATCAGTCACTGCTGCAAAGGCTTACCTGTGTCTTTATGTGAAATTAGAAAAAAACCAAGAACATCGTCCAAGCAACAGGTTTAACAGAGACAACACTCAGAGCCATCTGCAACCACAAGTCAGGATTTTAAAAACTGTTTAAAACAAGTTGGATGAAAGTAAGTCATATCACTCACTCTCCATTAAGACTGTGATGGAAATGATGCCAACAACATGGATCAGTGAAAATTGGAATGTCATGAGACAGCCAGATACTTCAGAGTCTGCCAAAACACCAAATGGATTTATGAAGATAGGAAGATGAAAGCAGAACTAAAGAAGGGATTTAACGGATTTAAACTGAAGGAATGTCAACATTTTCACAACTGCAAGTTCACATTGTAACCAAAAAAAGCAGCCTATTTTCCTGATAAATGGTGGAAAACAGTGGAGGAATATGGATGTTTATTGTTCATGCAACCAGTCCATTTTGGGACAAGATACCACCACATATTTTATAGAGCAAACCAGTGACAAAACATACTAAAATAAAATGGGAGCTGATGAAGAAAATTCTCCAAATAGGAATTCACCACACTGAAATTTGACTGGAAACATTTGAGCATGACAAACTCTTGCAGGACACAGTGAAAAAATCATCAGGAAAGTGAAGAGGGCAATCAATTCCTATTATCTGCTACTACATAAAAAAAATGAAAAGCATAAAGCAAATTTCAGTAACAAAAAGGACAGGAAAGAAAATGAAGAACCACTATCCTCTACATCATCAGAATCATCAAAGCCTCATTCCATCTTCTTCGGGCCAGCCAGGCCCACTTCATCTTCCTCAGTTCAGGATACAGATGAACCACAGCCTTGATACACCACTGCTTCCTCTTCCTCCTCCTATGACTAACTCTACTCCTCAATCTCCCCTTCCACCATAGGAATAAAATAAATTAAATTACACTGGTATTATAACACATTTGCTTATACCTCTCAAAATGCTAACATAATATATTACATATATCTATACAAACATTTTACATAAATAAATATAGTATAACTGTTTATCATCCAGGAGTTCAATCCCTTGGGTAGGCTTGGACCATGTATAAACTTCCTCCCCTTCTTCCTTTATTTCTTACAGGAAACTGTTTTTTTTTTCATTTATGTGATTTTCAGGGATGTATCTACCACACAAATGGAGACACAACTGTAATATTAAGCGTTACTGAACAATGATTATCAGAAATATGAATTAGTTTAGAGGTTAGTTCTCTTGCCAAAAAATTCTGTTTTCCTTAAAGTGACTAGGAACAGCTCTTGATGCCACTACATCATTACGTAGAGGAACTGGCAGAAAGCACCATATGCCAGTCTACTCCACTGAAGAATGGGTGAGATTTCAGTTCTTGCACACCATTCACTCCAGAACCAAGTCTTTCCTGAGGGTCATGCCTCAGCAGCTGAAATATGAAGTCCACAATGTCAGAATACAATCTCAGGCTGAAAAGATATAAGTACAAGCACCCAGAGTCTCAAAGACAGCACTCAACTTTCCATAAATACCATGTCACATCCCATCTGTCACTAAATCTCTGGGTTTATGTGAAAAAATACTGTCACTCTGACCAAAATTATGTGAAACATTATGTCATCTTACTAAGCTGAAGGTTATAAATGGATGTAACTACTGTAGCTTAGCAACATGGCCAATGACAAGCTTTGGAATTAGCAGTGCTGAACCTTCTGCTGGACAGTTCATTTAGTGAGATAGTTTCAGAGTTTTGTTACTTCAGAGTGTTGCATCTGTTGCTCAGGTTACATGACATGATGTGAAGACAGTAATTTATGAATCAAGAGTACTTGAGAGATAGGGGTCATATCCCATTTTGAGATATTATTACAGTACTTACCTGCAGAAACCAAGAAAAAATCAGTTAAAACCAGCCAAAAAATCCTGGATTTAAACTGAGTACTTTCTGAATGCAAATCAAACATTTTGGCACTGTACCACTAACTTCTGAGATCTCACTAAGTCATTAGCAGTTAGATAATTCAGAGTCAATTGTACATGCATACATGTATAAAAGCAATCTGGAGGGGGGAAGCTGGTCGTCCAGGTCTAATCGTGTGAACTGCAATGAAAGTAGCTTACCTCTTTGAGAAAAGATTTGGCTTCTTCTGATATGTATTCTGGAATGTTGAGGATTGTGTGGCTGTGGATACCACCAGGATGACATGATAACAAAGACTGAAATATTATATATTTTATTAAAAATAACATTTTTGGAATATTCTCTTTCATTTATGAGAAGGCAGACATGTGATCCACCTTTGTACTTTTTAGTTCCTTGCCATCAATGACACAAAACCAATAGCCACAAAACTTCTGAGGCAGAAGTGACATTAAAAACACTTAACACTTTGCTACGACCATTTAAACAAACTGATGCCAACACCATTATGCATCTCAAAACCATGCAGAACACCAGACAAAATGCGCACATCAAGCGTAAATTTCATATTTACTGATGATTTTTTGAACAGTTTGTCATCTTGATAACAGCCGCAAAATAGCTGGATAAAATGAAAGTAACAACAAGCATGAAGTGAATAACGACGTACATGAGAGAAGCACGGGAAACAAATACAGTGCAGTGGTCTCGCTCGAGGATAGAATTCACCTGATGATGGCCACTGAGGCCGAAACATGTTGTGAATATAAATTAGTAAGAAATATATGTATAACCAAGACAACTTGAGGAGTGTAAACATTCTATTTAACGTGTAAATTTATGTACTACGTAAAGGCGTACGGGCATTTTATTGATTTGAACTGTCATAGTATTAAAATGCAATTTTAGTGAACAACATATTCCTAATGTCTTTTTAAAGTTGTATTACTGACGGATACGTTAGTAAAAAATAGGATGGATAACCATTAGACTACTGTTCTTACTAGCCAAACTCTACAGATCGAAGCACCTGAAGAAAAACAGAGTCAGGTATGAGGAACTAAATCTTGCAGCAAAAGAAAAAGGGAACAAAACTGTAGTGTCCCATGAAGTGTTCAGTTAAAGTGCAAATATGCAAACTGAATATATCTGATAAGATTTGAAGCTTTCATAACAACTGTTTGCAGTAACTCTTGGGAATTCAATCATGTGAAGATGCAGTTAGTATCCAACATTTTGGAGATGTGATGTGTGACACAATTGCACACTGTATATACATCAGAGAGTATGATCCCAGCTGCTCCAGTGTGGATCAGTGAGGGCTCAGGAAACCACTAACTGCCTAAACCACCCACCGTTCCTTCAACCATGAGAATATTCTGTGCTATAAATACAACAAGTAGCTGTGTCACTCAGCATGTCATCAACTCCAGCTGAAGAAGACAGAGAAGTCCCAAAAATGTTAGAGACTACGTCCATTTTTACACAGCTGATCACCTGAACAGATTTATTAGTTATGCTACAAGTGAAGAGAACAGAGCTTCCATTCATTTTTCTACTGAAATGTCTATTCCTATTTGTCTACTGTATTTATATTTACAAACCTTGCTAGTTAGCAATTCAAAAATGATGGCACCAAAGCTCCACCAGTCAGCTGCTGGGGTAAGCTGAAAAATCCCATTTACCTCAGGAGCAGCATAAAGCCTTTCAATGGCTTCAGCACTAACTTGAGAGTCCACATCGGCCCACCGACACATGTATGTGAGGAGTACATGTCCTTTCTCACCTAGCAATACATTGTCAGGTTGCAGGTCCCTGAAAACCACAGTCCACAGTTCAGCAGCACATTGCAAGAGACAGCACGCACCATGTAAAGCTTCTCCTACATTACTATCAAGCACACGACTATCACACTAGCCCTCCTTACACAGCCTGCAAAGGGAGTAAGAATATGGAACAACTTTTAAGTTTATGAATAAGACAGTAGAGCCCATGCCAAACTTTGGTCACCTCTGCCTGTCATCATCATTATCGACTTACCACTGGGGCCACCAAGTTCAAACAAACTGTAACAGAAAGCTTGAAACTGCTGCTGTAGGCCAATTAGAAAGTGTTACAGCAGATCACTAGTACACCTGACCATACAATATATAACTGTCATGTTTGTAGTGGCATCTTCTGTTTGCATGAGATGAACACAGAAATGCCCCACAATCTTAGCTTACTTCCTTATTTTACATAAGATAACACAGGCTTACATAATTTGGATTTGTGCTTCCAATCATACTTTTATTAACATTATCTCATAAAGAACTTTATATTTTAAGAGACCCTAATACTTACATTTTAATTTAATATTATGTCTACGAGTATCTGTCCAGCTACTAATAACTTTTCAATCATCAAATGAATTTTCATGGAATTTGTTACAGATACCATTCCACTGGGTGAAACCCCATATTTATACTTTTCAATTTCCTATTGTCAGTAACACAAATATGGTGACTTCAAATTCTCCTGAGGAAAAAATAACACTAGAATCACTTAATGTTAGGCTATCAAATTCTGTGTGTTGAAAAGACCTTCAAACAACTTTCATTAAGATCATTTATTGGTAAAATGACAATCTGGTATCAATGAAAAATGTAGTATATAGTTACCTTTCCATGTGATAATAATTAATGATAATTAGGGATATAAAATTAGTATGAGATTGACTTCCCCCCCCCCTTGGCACTACAGCCCCAGTGGGCCTAGGCCTACCTCCATAAACTTCTCCATTCACTTCGGTTTTTCTAGATCTTACACATTCGGTAGGACTCCTTGGGCGGGTGATCAGCTCGTCGCAAGGCCTCTACCTGTACACAAACACAGAAAACCCACACACACAAACTAAACATCCATGCCTCGAGTGGGATTCGAACCCACAATCCCGGTTTCCAAGCGAGGGAAGACAGTACATGCCTTAGACCGCTCAGCTACCGTGACCGCCTGGGATTGACCTTAAACACGTATAAATTTAATAACAAATGCGAAAGAAATTCTTCTGTGAAACTATTAAAGATAAGAAACACTGTACCATCTGTAAAGTTTTGTGAATCTATTCTAGCAAAATTACACACAAAAATTTCTGTAATTATTAATCTATAATTTCCACTACCCTCTGTATACAGATGGAAGCATTGATGGGAAAGTAGGTGCACTTCCTAGAACTTCTTACTTATTTAGTAAAACGGCATGCAACGGTACGTCACGCATAATTTCAGTGTGGTTTCCCTCCTCCCCTTTGTTGTAACAATTAGCAATACCTGCAGATGATTCCCCACTGGTGCAAAGCATCAAGAACAACAACTAATTCAGCAGCCCACATACGGACATTGGCTTCAGGTAGACGCAGTTTAGGGTGGCCTATCATTGAATGTAGGCGTGAAATCTGTTGTGTCCGATCCAGACTACCAGATAAACCTCTACCATGACCTTCAAATATATCCTGTAAAACACAAGGGAAGAATAAGGTCAATACAGATTTTAATATCTGGTTAACTAATGTCCTACCATTTAACTTGTAAGGCATAACAATCCCACAGGGCCCATCTGAAAATAAACTAAATGGCATGACTAAATGAACAGGTCTGGGTTTGAAGTGTAGCCAAATATATCACATAAATTGTAAATAATGGCCAGATACTAGCAAAGAGTACAGAAAACTTTAACAAATTCTTCACTTGTGCCTATGAAGATCAATGGAATGTAATCAATTCTATTCTGTTCTATTCCATTCTACTCTATTTTATACTATTCCCTATCCTGAAATATTTGTTACTTTTTTTCCAAAAGTTCTTTTTTCACAGATTGCACTACATCAGATGCAAGCCACACTATTTATAACATTCAGCCCTTTGCAAAGATGAACCATTTCAGGATAAGTGCTGGACTGAAAGGATTCGGATGTTGCATAACAAACTCCAAAACGTGCTGCATCAAAATGATGAGCTCAAGGCTAGAAACAAGGAGCTGGAAGAAAAGTTACAACTAGCAGGAGGTGGGAAGAGGGATACAGTGGCAAAACAGAGAGGTGCTAAGTGCCTGGTGATAGGTGACTCAGTGTTGAGCAATGCTGGAGCAGAACATACAGATATGATGGTTGAGTGTTTCTCGGGGATTAGAGCTGAGCAGCTATACAAAGAGTGATAGAAAAGAGAGATCTAGGAAATCCAGAAACTGTAGGTATGAATGACTTGAGAGCAACAAGAAATCTTGATTTTGTAATGGGAAAGGTGTATGTTCTGGTGGGTACGGCAAAACGTAAATGTCTGAACTGCAGAATTGTCCTGATCAGGGTGTTATGACATAGAGATGTGTCATGGCAGCGTATTGGAGCTCTCAATGATAGATTTGACTGGATAGCAAACACCTTAGGAATTACCTTCGTAGACCCGAATAGCTGGATAGAGGAGAGGGATTTTGGTAGAGATGGTCTACATCTGAATGGAAGAGGGAGGTGTTGATTTTGACAACTGTACGCTAGAATTAGTGGACTGGATAGTGGTGGGCCAAAAGGGAGGAAGAAGTAACTGGTGGAAGGAATTCGCAGAACTAGGACAACCAGGAAATCATGGCATTCACCAATCGATGAACAGATGATTTTACATGAAGAATGTGGGTTAACGAAGAGTAAGTTGGTGAGTGGGGAAACTGAAGCTAGGACAGGGGTTCAAGCTGTAACAGTCGTACATACTGCATGCTGAATTCACCCATAGAACATATGACTTTACATGAAGAATGGCGATTAGGTGAGAGTAAGTTGGTGAGTGGGGAAATTGTAGCTAGGACGGGTTCAATCTGTATCAGCGGAACCTGCATATTGGAGTAAAGGTAACTCACTAGCTGCGCTGCAAGTTAACTGTAGGAATATTTACAACAAAGCTGTAGAATTCTGGAATTTAGTGGACACACACAATCCTAATGTTGTTATAGGCATGAAATCATGGCTAACAGAAGATATTAACAGTACCGAGATCTTCAGAGCTGACTTTACAGTCTTCAGAAGAGATAGGTCTGCCTGCAGCGGTGGTGGTGGTGGTGGTGGTGGTGGTGGGGGTCAATCGGTGTTAAAAACTGTATTACCTGTATGGAGTTGTGGATAGATGAGGAAGCAGAGATGGTCAGACACAAAGTGAAAGGAATGGGCCCAAAATATTCATGGGAAATTATAGGTATTTAAAGAGGATATGCTGGTGATAGAAAGATTACTAGCCCATACCCAAATTAGGTGAGAGACAGAAAAAAGAAGCATCACAGGTGGAGATCTGCTGAATATAAGTCAAAAACATTACCATATATGCCAACTCGCTCGTTAGTGTCAATGAATAACATAAGGTTTAATCATGGAAAAATAGAATATTTCCATGTTTATGTATCAACTATTAGTCTTAAAAAGGTTAAGGTAATAGCTACTCACATCACTACTATAACGGCGTTCTAATGATGTTCTAGAATGCGCTGTAACTGAACGTCTTCTTCCTGCAGATAATTTTCTTTCCTTTCTTCTTGTACTGGCTGCTGAAGGCACATCTTCAGACTTGCAGCGCATTACAGATTTCGTGTCACTAGATTTATTTGTGCCCGATAGCTTCGCTGCAGCATTTTCTCCTGTTAGTGTTACTACACTTGCACCACTACCAGTAACAAATGCATTCAAAACACTGTCTGTATTACTCTTGCATCTGTCAGTCCCTACTGCCACAACTTGTTCCTCAGCCATATTGTTAACTTTATCGTTCTTCATTCGACTTACAACCGTTTCACTATTAAGAAGTGTCTTATTTACAGAGGCAAGGAGCTTTTGGGCATTTTCAACCAAGTCTGTTGTATCCAAACTTTCAAGATTCTTCCATGATAAAAGAAATCTAGATTCTTGTGGTAAAAGATCAGGTACTGGGTTGCTGATAGCGTTATTTACATGCTCCTGAGGGTATGTTTGAAAAGTGTCTGACAACTGACTTACATTATCATCCTCTTCCTGGAATTTTGATGAAAGAGCATTATTTTCCAATTTTTTACCAACTCCCTGAATATTATAGTCATATTTGTTTGGTACTTTATCACCAAGTTTGCTGTTCTGAATAGATGATTCCTGATTGCTTGCACTATTCTGACTATTATTATATAATTCTTTACCACACTGAAATAGTTTCCTTGTTGCTGTTGAAGCATAGTCACGGAGTAATTCTACGTAACTGTGGTCTTGGCTGGACACAGAATCCGCATCATCAAACACTGGAATGCCTTCAGGATAATCTACTGGGGTTGTACCTCTCTCAGCAAGCCCTTCACACTTGGTTTTTGCTTCACTAACTCCATCCTGTATTAATTTCTTTCCCAGATAAACATTACCCATACTTAGTTCATGTACTGGTGTTGGTGGAAGAGACTGGAAATATGAATCCACATGATCCCATAATTTGCCACCACTGAAAACAGAACATACAAATTTGACATGCAAGTTTATGATCAACATTTAAGAGTCACCTCTATAACTCCAGCAGAAATGTACATTTTTAAAAAAATCTTTTATATCTAATATCTGCTGACCAGATTAATGTGTAGGTAAGGTCTACATTTGTTTCTGGTAGAAAACCAGTTCAAATCACAGGTGGATTTCCACAAATCCTGACTGAGTTTTCCCACAATTTTTGTTTTTCCAGGTGAAAGCAGAACAGGACCTTGAAACAGGCCACAATCTCTTCCTTCTGAAATCTGCCATTCTAATTACTTGTGATAATCTGATATCATGCAACCTCTTCAGTTATACAATGTAATTTAATAACCTAAGAATTAACGTAATATTGTTCTTCAATTATACGGTTTCTCCATATATCTAGCCAGTCTTTAAGCATACAACAAAAACGGGGAAAATATACAATGAATACACATGAGTTTGATATACGACATGTAAGATGATAGATCTTAAAAAGTTTTAATATATAAATTTTATTATTGAACAACAACAAACACATTTTTTATCATTTTATAAATGGACACTTGATGGCAGGCAGTGCAATGGTTTAACGTGATTGATACACCTGACGATGGCAGAATGATGCCGAAACATGTAGTGTGAAGTGACAAGTGAAATTGCACTAAAAGACGGTAAATATACACATTATGAATACACAGTATAAAAACAGTTTATTTATTTAATGATGCCTTATCAACTGCACTGATTACATAAAACTGAATGGCAAATGACAGGATCACGAATAGTGAACTAGGAAGGACGGAGCAGAAACTATCTGTAGCCTAATTTAAAATACTAATATTTGATGGCAGGAACTAAGAAAATCCACAAATACCCGAATCAGGACAGTTTGTTTTCCTGATGATTTTTATAGGAATAACGCAAACATAAGGAGCATTCATATAAAGTATTAAAGATAAATATTTACCCTTGTAAATGGTGAGTTCTGGCATCATCAGCATGAAGTTATAATAAATACTAACGTGTTGGTTTGTTAAGCACCACCTCAGATAACAATGCGTTAAGCGATTTTCATACCTTGCATGCTGGAGAAGAAGAAATACTGCTGACTCAGTTTCAAAGTATCCATGTAGTTTCACCATGTAAGGAACATCTTGTGGCACAATGGGGCATTTCAGGTCACTTACAGGACAAGGAGATTTGTGTAACACCTTCATAATGTAGCAACGATCATCTAGTGTATTCAGCACCAACATGACAGTGTTAATAACACCAAGGACTTTGTAATACTGAAGCTCTGATAGGGGGCGCTGCAACTGCATACTAGACTTGGGCTGTAAATAACAATGGTCAGATTCAGCAACTTTCTATTTAATTTGAACACAGAATAACAAGACAGGACAAAATCACATAAATGTTTCACAAGCTGTTGTGACCAAAATGGTGACTGGGCTCAAATTACAGCCAAGCATAAATACAGTGAAACCACCATTTAAGGCCACTTTCAAGAGCAGCAGATATGAACATTAAACTGAGGAAAATCTTAAATGCAGGTACTTTTAACACTTAGATTATTACCTTGGGATCTCTTAACTAAAAGCTAATGAGAAAGAATGTTAAACTGACAAGAATTAAATAGGAGTTCCAACGTAGTTGCCAGACGTCAAGTTATGCCCTAGTATTTGTGTAGAAACTGTAAGTAGTGACTAGTATTCAAACAGCAACTGAGAACTAGCAAAGAAATTATAAAGCGCTGGGTCCCAAACATGTTTGTGTGCATGTTTTTCCCTGAGATCTTACAAACCAATTTATAGATTTTGATGAAACTATGTATGAAAATTATGCCTATAGTGGTAACTCATCTTTATTCTTCTTAATTTACTGACATCAATAATATCAACATGGTGGTCTTGTAAACTTTCAAGTGGAAGCACACTGGCACCAGTTGCACAACAAAACTGTCCAGTGCTTAATTAGCCACCACAGCATAAAGGCATTAGGGGGAATAGACATACCGTTTCATACAGAGTGTCCAGTTGAAAGGTATTCATAATAAAACATTTATATCTCATGTATCCGGTTTATGTCAGTGGAAAGGATAACTCTAAAAGTTTTTTCATGCCCAGCTTACATGCATAAGCCAGCTTGTGACCTTCAGTGAGCTCAGTAATCATGTCGACACCACAGGAGCAGGTTCAATGCGTGTTGTGGTTAGCTGAATTGCAATCTCTTATTGCTGTCTAGCATCGTTTTAGAATGCAATATGGATGTCAACCTCCTACACGAAAAAGCATTTGATGCTGGGACATGTTGATTGACCATTTTTCTTTTCGGATAAAAATATGACTGGACATTTGTACTTGGACCTGCTGTAGCTGTATGCACTGCTCCAATTGCCACCTCAAACTATCCTCAAACAAGATGGGGTGCCAGCACATTTCTGCCACCATGTTAGGAATCACCTGGACACAGAGATGGCTGGGAGATGGATCAGCAGAGGTGGACCAATCAATTGACCTCCTAGGTCACCAGATTTAACCCCAATGGAATTTTTCTTGTGGATTTATGTGCAGAAAATTGTCTACCAGGTTAAGGTAAGATCAACAACCTTCAATACCTGAAAGCGCGCATAAGGGATGCCGTGGCTACAATAACACCAAACATGCTTCAAGCAACGTGGAATGAGGTCAAATATCCTTTGGATATTTCTCGTGCCACCAAGGTAGCCCACACTGAAATTTACTGAAAAGGTTATACACTCAGAAAGAACTTTGATAGTTTCCCTTTGTAATAGTGTATTCTGACATATAATTATTTTATTTTGGATACCTTTCATCTGGACACCTGTACATTCTGAAACTTGACACTATATGGAGAGGAGTGCTCAGTTTCATGTCCCATCTGCTTTACCCCTGGGGAAAGAGCCCCCGTTATCCTTTTGATAGCAGGCTGAAAGACCCCACATATGGTATGGTTGTTGAGGCAAAGAAAAAATCTCTGCCTGCTAGGAACTGAACCCTGATCATCAGACTCTTAAGCAGTCACTATACTGACTGAGCTACCACGTTTTAAAAAAATATGTAACTTTTGTTAATATATTTTGTTCCTTGTGGAAAGTAAACCAACACAGCAGCTGTGAAGTAATAAATAGAATTTAAACAATCAACCAGATACCGAAATGCGAAAGGTGGATAAACCTTAAACATAGAACAAATGCTATAGAATACAGCAACAACTGACTTCCGAGCAGTGCAGCTGCCTCACTATGAAAACAAAACAAGAGTAGGAATAAAGCACGCCCAACCACAATCGAACATCGAAGCTCCACAAGAACTGAAGAAACTGCATAACACTACAATTAAGATAATAGCTAGCAACCAGAATTATATATATATATATAACGCTACTTTATTTAATAACTATCAACTAGAACAACAGAAAACAGTACATGAAAAATATCAGTATAAAGGGAAACAATTTTTAAAAAAATTTAATTCACTGTTTAAACATCATAATATAATATAATGACATAATATATTCTATGATACTTATATTTTGTTATATATTACACACACAAGTCTGTTTCTAAGCATTTATAAGTGTAAGACTTTCACTCCAATTTTAATACATATTTTATATATGACTTAAACTAATTCAGATACACGTATGAACATACTAGCTGCATAGGAAACCAGATACGTTTAGTAATAAGTATTTAAATTGTATGAGACCATATACGAGCAATTCAATAGTTTAAAAAAGAAACAGGACTATGGCTAAAGAACAAAAACCCAATATCTCTGTGTGTTATACACCATCGTCAGAATCCTACAGTAACTATTTAAATAAATGTCCATTAAATTGTACTGCCTGATGATGACTCTAGGAGTCGAAACATGTAGGGCAAAGTGAAACTATAAGACCAATATATTCATCATAGCATGGTGAAGTGTGAGAGACTTCTTGATAGCTGTTGTGTTCCAACAGGAACAAAGAAAGAAATTTTATAGAATAACACAACAGGATGCATTCCTTGAAGAATTTAAAAAACCGGTAACTTGATCCAAAGAGGAACAATAACATATGATTAACCACTGACATAGTAATTGCTGATCACCACAATTAGGACTGATTTGTGCAGTAATTAATCTGTGGTGTCCAGGAATAGGTGATTTATATCTCCTGCTAATATGATGCTGGCGGTCAGATTTTAATTTCAGGATAACAGTGTGACGCTATGCCTGTCGGGGCCTGGTGTGCCCATGCATTCATAAGAAGAGTAGTGTGACACACAGACAATAAAGGTTAATAGCCTTAACAACGAATAATTTAATGAAGGTCCACTGTTTCTCAAAAAATGTGATCTCTATTTAGTTTTCTGTTGGATGGTAACAACAATGAAACACTGGACTCAGGCATGTGATATTTTCTCATTGAAATCCTTCATAAATATGCCAGAAATTACCTGATATGCTTTATAATCACTGACAATTACAGATATGACAATGATGTGAGGCTTTTAGGTTATATCTGCTATATATATATATAGCATCAGAAATATACACTAATTGAACTTACATACAGAATTGGTCATGTTGGAGAAATATTAATTTATAGCTGCGGCTGCTGGCCTTACCACATAGAATGAATCACATGAGGGAAAGTGGGCATCATAATTTCACTTCAGAATTTCTTTAAAACATTTATTGGCAAATCGTCATTTGCAAACAAAAACTTCAGATTAAAATGCTGTAGCTATATCTCAAAAAGGCTCCTAGCAGGATGTGGTCTGACAATAAAGTTCAGGAACTCATCACGGTAAAAGTGCTACATACCTCACTGCTGATCATCACTGTACTCCCCTTGAGAAGCTATTGAATTGAACTGAATTTATTTACATTCTATAAATCCTAAGCAGGTTAGTACCTTTGGATACAGAACAAGTCAAAAGGTTACATACATAAGTACAGGCAATTTTAGCTTAAAAATTAATATAACTTAATTTTACATCATTCTCTATTTACATTGAAGTATTCATCTAAAGAGTAGAAGGAATGAGCATGTAGATAATTCTTTAACTCTGATTTAAACTTTTTAGTATCATTGCCCAAGTTTTTAATACTTTGTGGCAGATTGTTGAACACTTTTATGCCAGTAAAGTAGACTCCTTTTTGATATACTGATAAAGTTGATGAGGGTAGGTGGAAGTTATATTTTTGTCTAGTATTCATGTTATAGACATCAGAATTTAATTTGAATTTATCTTTGTTGTAAACAACAAATAAGAGAAGCGATAATATGTATTGCGATTGAAGAGGTAGAATTTTTAATTTCTTAAATAATTCTCTACATGAATCTCTACTTCTACATCCTGTAATGATTCTAATTATATTCTTTTGTATTTTAAAAATTATTACACTATGTGAAGAGTTCCCCCAAAATATTAATCCATAGTTCATAATAGAATGAAAGTAGGCATGGTAAACCATCTTCAATGTTTCCTGTGACATAAAAGGCTTAATTGATCTCATCGCATAGCAAGCTGCATTTAATTTAGGTATAATTTGTTCAATATGTATTTTCCAAGACAGTGTACTGTCTACATGTATTCCAAGGAATTTTGTATCAAGTACTTTACAGATTAATTTGTTGGCATAACTGATGTCCAGATCAATTTGGTGGTTGTTTTTAGTTGTGAATGATATGTAATGGGTTTTATCAAAATTTAATGAGAGTAAATTGGCTTCAAACCATCTGTTTAAGGCTTCAAATACAATATTTATGTCATTTTTAAAGTTGTCAAATTTAGAGTTCTTAAATATTATACTAGTGTCATCTGCATATAGAATTGGTTTAGATTTATTGTTGATGGTTTTAGATAGATCATTTATGTAGAGAAGAAAAAGTAAGGGACCTAAAATTGATCCTTGACCAATGCCAGTGCCTAGTCCGGCCTTCAATTCAAAACAATTTTGGAACTCGTTTTGTGGAATGGCCTTCAGAGCTGCCACCGTATTACTCCTGATGTCATCAATGTCATCAAAATGCCTTACTTCCAATATTTCCCTTAATTTTGGGAACAGAAAGAAGTCACTGGGGGCTAGATCCGGTGAATATGGAGGGTGTTCCAGCACAGTTATTTGTTTACTTGCTAAAAACTCCCTCACAGACAGTGCCATGTCAGCAGGTCCTTTGGGACCATTTTTGCACACCTTTCTCGTGTCAAGATCTTCAGTTAAGATTTTCCTAACTGTTTCTCTGTCGATGTTCCTTTGCCCCTGACAGTCAGCTGATGATTTTCATGCAAATCTGATGAACATTTGCAATGTTTTCTTCAGTTCTGCTCGTTGCTGGCTGCCCTGATCTCTCTTCACCAGCGACAATCTCTCTTCCCACAAAAAAACGTGTCAGCCACTTGTTAACTGTTCTTTTCTTCATACCATTATCACCATAAACTTGCACTAACATCTCTCTGATTTGACTTCCACTCTTGCCAAGTTTAACAATTTAATGTTCATTCATTGCTCTAATTAAAGCTCTGACATTCTCGCAACAGCACACCAGAACACAATCAGACAATAATAGACGCAACTCAGAGACTGCCACAGATCAACAACACGGCTGTGAAAAGCTGATATGCCAACATCATCAAACCATACTGAGGGTTCTGTCCACTGCTGCCACAGCAAACACGCAGTGGTGAGTTCGCGAACTTTATTGTCTGACATTGTTAAGGGTAAAGCAGGGCAAAATGTTTAGAGAAATTAATGAACTTGTGTACTCCTGTAGTAAATAATTAGATTCTTACATCCCATAGTGATAATTCTGCAGACTTCGATGCTAAATGCTGACTATAAATCTTCTCGGCCTGAAGAAGATACTGGGCTGTCTTTTCTCGAACAACTTGTTTTCGCTTATTATCAGGATCTCCTAGGAGAAGAAGCACCAAGCTGCTATCAAACAAGAATATGTGATGGATGCATGAGAAGCTGATAAATTGTAGGGTATTACAAAACTGCGAGAAACAGTGTCTGTATGCAACCTACAGGTTATTAATGATAAGATGCAATGTTCACCACTACCATCTTCCCATAGCTCAGATGAGTTAACTCATGAAGGTACAATGTGTTCTACAAACTAATTTCATTATACTGTAAGCAGTCAAGAGGCACGGCAGAGAGGTGTCCCAAACTTATTGACTGAGGATGTCATAACACACTACCACACCTCAGGCAGCAGTGATATGAGTAAGGAGCAATGGTAGATTGGTAATTGACAGGGTGAAACCAGAAGAACTTGTAGAAAACATGCATCAGTGCCACTTTGCCCACCAAAGAACTACATGAAGTCACCCAGGATTGAACCTGAGGTTCCATAGTGAAAAGCCAGTGCCTAACTGCCCAAACTATAGCACAGCCTGCAATGTGCTCTATCTACTAGATTTTTATTGAATAATGTGGTCAGTCTATCAAGAGCTGAATATCACAATCTTTGTGAAAGAACAAGACATTGGTAATTATGTTATTTG